ATTAAAGAAAATTATTTCATAAATATTCTTAGTACATTCGTTTGCAATGTATATTATTTTATATTTATATTTTGAAATAGAAATAAATTTATAAAATAAGATTGATATAAAGATTATGATATAACAAAAATAAAATTAAAACGTCAAAAACATATTTAACAAAATATTTATAAAAACATATTTTAAGAAAAAAATAAATAATATAAAATAAATAAAAATTCTTGATAAAACTATTTAAAAAATTGAAGATTAAGAAATCTAAGAATATGTTTAAAAATATATTGAAATATGCTTGCATATTAAATCTGAAAATTTAAGTTCTTTTTATTATAAAATTAAAAAATAATCATAATTCTGATTTTTTATTTAGTCATAATAAGTTATTTAGTCATAATAAATTCCAAAAAGTAATTTTTATTATTTATTAAGTTGATGATATTGATAAAATAATTAAATAATATTACAGAATAGATGGACTATTGATAACTTCTGAAATATCCGCTAAATATCAAAATATATAACTTATTTTAATTTTATAGGATATTTCAGGATATAGGATATAAATATATTTATATATATATCATTACTATTATATTTATTATATTGGCATATTATATTTATATAAAATATTATTATATAAATATTATATGAATATTTCGACTTTTTAGTTTCAATTTCAATGTGAAAAATTTTTATTTATAACTTTATATTTATGAAATCTTAAAGATGAATATATATATATATATATATATATATATATATATATATATATTTTATTAGTTTTTTAGCGTATTACATTAATTTGAAATATTTTTTTATTTAATGATTTTTAAAATCAAGTCTTTATCAAGTGTTATGTAACTAACTTCATTTAAATTCATTTAAATTTATCTATCACTGAAAAATATTATAGGATAAAGCTATATATATTAGCTTTTTTAATATGCCAATAAATTATAATCGAAAAGATATTTTAATAAAAAGCAAAAATATTTAAAACATATATATATATATCTTGTAATGAATATTATTGAAAATGAGTATTAATAAGATGCAATTAATTATTTACAAAATATATTAATTCAAAAAAACTTATCTGGAAATTTAAAAAAATCTTATATATGTAAGATTATAGAAAACTCTGAAAACATATCCATTTTTAATCTATTTCAAAAATTCAGAATTCAAGAAAAAATTTAAACATGAGCAGAATTATTTGTTATATGATTTATATAATATTTGATTTAAGTATTAAATAAAATAATATTTTCAAGTTGTATTTGCTTATGAAAATATTTCAATTTTTTTAATAGAATAAATGGAAAATAATACATAATAATAATAATAATAATATAATAATAACAATAAAAGAACGAATATAACATATTAAATATCTTGCAAAGTAATTAAAATAAATTAGTAACTTTTTCTTATTTAAAATTATTTCTGATTTTTATAAAATTGTAAATAAAAAAATTTATAATTGATATAAATATTTTGAAAAATTACTTCAATACATTAAGCGCAAATTTAAGCAAAAATCATTAAAAAATGATCATTAAAAAATGATTTATATTCATAAAAATGGTGATATAAAATAATTCTTAATTTAATAAAAAATCTTGTAATTTTTAATAATTTTTATATTTTATATAAATAAGATTATTTTTGTTTATAATTATAATTTGATTTAATTTTTTAAACATTTTAATTAAAATTGTATTACAATTTGTGTCATAAAATTAAGTTTGATTATAACATTTTCTCCATTTCTCATTTTTTATTAATAACTTTGATATTATATGACATATTATAAAATTGTTGTCATTTAATAAATAAATATAATTATATTTCAAAAACAAAGTATTACAATCTTTTTTTTATTTCAGATCTCCTTTTTTCTTTCAAATTACTCTTAAATTTTTTCCAATTTTGACAAAAATGAAATTCATTCGAATAATAATATAACAAATAATGACTTATATAATAAAGTTTATATTTCAATTTATATTATAGAAATTTTTATAACAAAAAAATGAACAAAAATATAATGTTATTGAACATTTTGAGATCGAATTAATTTCAAAGTAATTTCAATAATGTTACAGAAATAAATTACTAGAAATAAATTTATATCACACGAAAAATTATTTGCATTTAACATCGAATAAAATATATTAAATTAATTGAATATAATGTGTTCATGACGTTTATTGACGTCAAAGTTTCCTTAATCAATGATAAGTGAGCAAAAGTAATTGACACGGTCGAAATTGTTGGTGATTATCAACTAAAATACAACCGCGTTTCTGTAGAGTTGTAATTAGAGAGATTGAATAGCAAAATTGTACGCTTGACCGAAATGCAAATTCGGTCATATCGAATTAAATTGACCATCACATAGGCGCCAGTCGTACAATTTCACAAATGTCTATCGAAACGCATTTTCAAAGCTTATGTTTAGACGTTGAAATTATAATTTATGAGATCATTTGCTTTTTGTTGTGATATAGGCATTTTTTTAAACACATGAAAATAAGTTTCATAGCTTGACGTCTATATATATATATATATATATATATATTGATAAATAAGATAATTACAAAAAAAAAAATTAACATTGTTTAACACAAAATTTAAATCGAAAATTTTTTCGAATAATAGCTAGTAATATTATTATAGTATTCTTAAAATATTTATTGTTGCATGAAAATATCTTGAATTAGCATTTTAATTAATGTAATCAATATATATTATGTAAAAAAAATTAAAGATAAAAATATAAAGAAAAAAATATAAAAATATAATTATAAAGAAAAATTATAAAGCAATTTTTCAAAATTTGTAAGAATTACATAAAAATGATAAATTAGAAATTGTAATATGTTTAAGGCTCAACAATCTATCGATTTAAATTTGATTGAAGATTTTAAAAAAATTCAAAATGAATTTGATAGAAATCTTAAATATATATATAAAGATAAAATAATTTTGAAATCATTTAAAATGTATGTGGAATTAAATAACAGTTAATATTTAACTTATGTAATGCTAATAATTAACTTATGTAATATATAAATAGATATAATTTATATAAATAGATGTAAATGATATAAAGCAAAGAAAAAAACTTCATAAAAAAGACTTTCAATTATTTTTAATTGAAACAAAAAATATTCAATTAAAAATGTTGAAAAATTTAAGAAATGATTCTTTAAATTAAAATAAAATGAAAATTCAGAATAAAAAAAAATTATGTTTTTTTATTTTATTTTTGTAATTATTGAAAATTAAAAATTAAGAAAATTATCCCTGAATATGAGCAAACCTCTTTACATGAAGAAATATAAGAGAACTCATACAATAGGGAGCACAGTGATCCTCAAATCTCTTTCTTCAATATTCTTTCTTTTCATGACTTATAGGAAATAAACTCATGTGATATTGAATAAAATCAATTATTATGTATTCTACTATTTACTTATATTCAAAATGCGCATACTTTCGTTTCTATTGCAAATACTATTACAATAGAAATAACAAATTAAGTTAAGTACTAAAAATAATACATTTTTGGATAAACTTATCTTAATACTATTCAAAATTCGCTATTCTATCGAAATTAGATAAAAAATTGAACATTCTAATTAAAAAAATTAAATCTATCTTTAGATCTTTTTTGAGCATATATCTGCAAAAAAATCTCAAAAATAATGTTTTATAAATCTATTACGAATTCCAAAATTCCTAACTTGAATTTTTTATAATTTTTAATAAAATATATGATCATGCATATTTTTGTTGTTAGTTTTATTAGTGTTTTTTAAAGATTTTTTTAAACAAAAGAAATTAAAAATAGAAAGAAAAGAATTAAGAACAATTAATTTTGTTTTAAAATATCAGTAAATTTATAATATACATTAAATATATAATATATATTATCTCATATTAATTTTCAAGTGCAATTTCACAAACTATAGATCGCTTTAAAAAATATTTCCAATAAAATTTATATTATTTCAAAGAAGATATATTATAACATTTATAAATTTTTTTTAACAGTATGTGAATGGAATTTGATGATTTCTTTTTTTTTATGAAATTATATAATTTTAAATGTATTAATTCAATATAAAAAAATATAAGTTATTTATATGAAGAAACAAACTAAATGTATCTAGTATAAATTTATATTATAAATTTTATAAAAATAAAATTAAAATATCTACTAAATTATTTTGCAATTATTTAAATATAATGTATATTTTGTCATAAATAAACATAAACATAATGTATACTTTTTTTATAAATAATGCCAAAATGTATCGACGAATATATTAAAAAATGTATTTCTTAATTTAAATTTAAAAAGTAAAAATATTGATTATTATTTGTCTATCATATTAGTATCTTAGAAATATAGAGAACATTTATAACTATTAACATTTATAAAGTATCTTCTTTGAAATAATATAAATTATATTCAAAACACATTTTAAAATAATTTGAAAGATTTTATTGATTTTACTTAAAATTGAAACACATTATACAAATTACATATTAAAAAATAAATGTATTATATAATCGATAATATATATATATATATATATATATATATTAATTTCAAAAATACATATAAAGGTATGTACAGAAAAAGTAAAAAATCAAAATTTCAACATTTTTGTGATAAAAAATAAACATTCTTTTCTCTATAAAGATTCTCATTATTATTAAAAAAATAATCATATAAATTTCGTTTTACTCTATTATAGATGCATACAATGAAAAAATTAAAGAGGCGAAAAGAAAATAGAAATTTTCATTCATTCACCGTGATGATTCAACATTATAATCAGAATGACGTGAATCGAATTACACAAGCATCTCAAAACATAATAATTATATAATATATAATTATTTCCTCTCATTTAATATATGTAATAGTCGACTATCCACGTTTCTCCGATACAATTCCGGTCCATTATAAATCGATCAATTACCTTGTGCGCTCGACAAATTCTCCGGATGCCATAGGAGGTTTCTCGAGTGTGCCAGATCTCGTGTCTGTCATCGGCTAGTTCACGAACATGGCCGACTGGCGCGTGTGAGGGGCGAATAATGCGCCAGACGAACGGCGCCATGAGGAATCCCCACATACACCTGAACCAAGCCCAGACCGAGAACGACCGCTTGCGTAATAGCACGACAAACGATCATCGACGCAGTCTGTGTACTATTTCCGTGGCGTTCCACTCGCGTTCGACTCGACTTAACCGGCCTCCAACCGCGTACGATTCAACCAGACCGTCGATGACGAAATGTTGCTCCACTCTTGCCTAGATCCCCCTTTGCCTGCTGATCAATTTCTACGCCGATAGTTATGTATGCACGAGTTCACGTTTGCTTCCAGGAACTCAGCTGCAATTTTATTGCTCTTGTCTTCTTACTTTTACTGGATATGTTTCAAAGAAAAAGTCGTGGAAATGATTATTGAATATTTTATGAAACGGATAGTAATTTTATGTTTGAAATATAATAAATGAAATTATTTAATGGAATATAAAATAGTTTAATATTAAAATTAATATTAAAATTGTAAAATATAATAGATGAAATTATTAGTAGAAATTTAATAATATTTGACGCAAATTTTGTATGGATGTACAGAATGATGTAAATGAAGTAAAAAATGAACAATTTATTGCAAATTTTAAATCTATTTTTATTATTATTTTGAGTAGTAAGTTACAGAATAATGTTATTTCTTAATGAAAATGTTAAAATATTTTTTTCATTTTTAATTAATAAAATAAAAATCAATAAATTGTGCGTTTTATTCTTCATATAAATAAATAATTAAAACTAATAATTTTTTTTATATTTTTACAAGTTGCAAGTTAAAGACAATTTCAAACTTCAAAAATTCGCCAAAAATTGAAGTAATTTATTGATTTAATAGTCATCTATTATGTTAGATGACATTTTAAATGATATATATAAAACATTTTCATATTTCTAATATTTATAGAAATAATTACATATATATATTCTTTATATATATTCAAAATAAAAAAAATTTTCTGTATATATATACAAAATAAAAAAATATATCAATGTTTTTTTCATATAAAAGCAATAATTTATATAATTAATATTTTTAAAAATGAAGCTATTTTTCTTTTGGTGCAAAATTTATTAATGATAATTAATGATTTTTCAAGATATGTTAAAAACATTTATTTGAAATACTATTTTATATGTTTAAATTTGTATGAATTATATCAAATATTATTTTTGTTTTATTATTATTATTATTATTATTTTATTATTATTATTATTATTTTATTATTATTATTATTATTATTATTATTTTATTATTATTATTATTATTATTTTATTATTATTATTATTATTATTTGTATATTATTATTAAGAAAATTAATAAAAAAGTATAAAGAAAAAATACAAAAATATCTTTTATATTAAACTGTTTATATTTTTTTTACTAAATGAATTTAAATAAATATTAATGGCAATGATTTTACGATATGTAAATACGAATTTTAAAGTATTTATATATAAATATTTAATATAGATATAGATAGAAAAATATTTATATAAATATTATTATTTTATTATTTTTAATATTACATAAATATAATTATTAAAAATAATAAAATAATAAATAATTATATCTATAATAAATAATATGTTTAATTTAAAATTTATTTTGATTAAACATTTTAAATCCATATAAATATATAATTATGATATTATTATATATTTATATATTAATAAATTTCAAATAATAAATAATATAAAAACAAATTATTATTTTAAATTAATAAAAAAGTATAGTATTATCGTATTTAATATTAAGAAAATATATTATATACAAATATTTAATTTTTTATTCTAAATACTATTATTCAAGATTGCTTTTATATTGATGTTATTTAATTCGTTTTTAATCAATATGTGTATTGTATTTTGTATTATAAATAATAATATTTTTTCATTTTGAAATATATAGATAAATTTTCATTATTTTTTATTTAAAAAAATTATTAGTATGTTACAATTATTAGTGTTATTCTAACATAGCTATATTAAAACATAATTCTATTTAACATTTCTAAATGATTTTAAAAAATCTTTTAGTTTTAACATTTTCTTTTTGCCATTCTTGTTAGGAATACATTAATAAATTATGGTAAATCATTGATCATCCAAACTTTAATTGGATAATTTTAAAATTCGTTTGAATAAGTTTGAAGAATTCGTTTTAATAATATATCGGATAATCGATAAACCAATTTGTTAATATATTATGAAACAATTAAACAATTTTTGAAAATAAGTATTTATTATATAAAAGAATATTTATTTAGGAAAATGCATTATATTACAATAAATAAATGAATTATTATTTTATTATTATTATTATATGTCTATTATTTTTTTATTATTTTTTTCATTATTTGTTATGAAAAATCTTTAGAATTGCACATTACTTTTGTAAACAATAGAATTGGAAAAGTTTCAATTATATTTAATTAATTGTTTGTATAAAATTATTGCAAAAAATTTTGATACTCTACAAAGCTGATATAGTTCTAGTTATTTAACTTACACTTAATGTAAAAAATAAAAGATATATAGAATTTCAAGTACAAAATATTTTAATAAAAAAATCTTAGATAGGAATTTTTAATAAAAAAAAATAGAATTAACAATAGTAAAATTCTATAAAAATAATCGCAACTAGTAATAACAACAGTGATTCCTAAGAAAACATTTTACGACACAGTTAGAGATCATAACATATAAGTTACTAATCCGGTCTTTGTATGCATACATATATACATGTACTATATACTATTATTATATTATATATATATATATATATATATTATTATACATATACTATATATATATATATGTGTGCAAATATAGACAGATAAATCGAAGTTTATTTTCTATACAGCAGATGATAAATTTACACTATAATATAATTTAATTTTAATAATTAGGCCAATCTATTAAAATTGGAAATATAAAAGATTATAAAGAAAAATTTTATACTGTTTAATATATTCTATTATCTTATAGTATAATTTTTCTCATAAATGAATTAGTGAAATAGAGGAAAATTTTACCCTTTTTGCAATTTATAGATATATATTATAAAGAAATAATAATAAATGTTGCATCATTCTAGAAAGAAGTATTTATAAAAATTTATATTAAAAACTGTTTAGTAATGGTACATCATAAAATCTTAGAAAAAATTTTTAAATTAATATATTATAAATTATTTAAATATATTTATAACACGAAACATTTTTACTAACATTTTGAACTATAATAAATAAATAAATTTCTAAACATATATAATAAATAAATATAATTTCTGAACATATAATATATATACACTTATAAATACCATATGTATTTATGCATATAATAAAATATTCTGAATATAAATATCTTGAGTAGAATATTAAAATTTAAATGACAAAATATTGCTTTTTATTTGCTAAAAATTGTAATGAACATTTTGTATAAAATAAAATTTAAAATTATAATATTAAACAATTATTTTTGAATAATTTCATTTTGTAATTATTTTATTTATAGTGATTTTTTAATAAATTTGTCAATAATTTATTTAATAATTAATGAAAAATCAATTATTTTCTAATTTTTTTTTTTATTTAAATTATATATAGATAATATTAATAATAATAATATTAATATTATTAATATAAATAATATAAAGATAATATTATAAGATAATATCTTTATATATATTATAATATATATAAAGATAATATTAATAATAATAATATTATTATTAATATTATTGTTCAATATTAATATGTTTTTATTATTATTTATTTATCAATATTTTATCAATATTTAATCTCTATATTCTATATATATAGTTTCATATTAAAGCTTTATTGAAAAATTTTATTTTATTTTAATTTCAGTTAAACGAAACATTTATATAAGTAATTATATTGTTAAATAAATTCAAGATTCGTTTAATTTATATATGAAAAATATGATTAATATAAATTAAAAAATATTTTGTTTGCAGTGTTTTACGATGATTCAACGAGCAAATAGAACAAAAAAATTTGGCGAGACTACTCTTTACAATATATCTTCTGCATACAGTTAATTAAATTCTTGGCTTGGTTTAAAGTATTTAAAATTATGTCAAGTGCCATATTTCACTATTAATCATAAAACATCAAAAATTTTTACTTCAGAGGCAATGTAATAACTGCAAATAAATTTCTAAAATTCGTTTCATACATTTAATTTATATATTATAATTAAAATAAATTTGCATTATTTAATTTGATTATACAATATATAAAATTAAATTATATACATTTTAATATTTAATTATTACTTTTTTTATTAATATTTAATATTAATATTAATTTTGCACATATATTATATAGTACAATATATAGTATGTGTATACTATATTTTATGAAAGAGAATTTGTTTCAAGTTTCAAATCAATATTTAAAGAAATGATTTCTACATTAGTAAAAATCATTCTGAATATTTATGCAAAGCAATTTCATTAGAAATATCAATGATTCTCTTTATTTCAAAAATATAAAATTTAAATATTTAAAAATATTTAATTCATTATTCTTATTCTTGTAAAAAAAAAATAAAATATTCAAAAATATAACTATTCAAATAAAAGTGTAATTACTTATTTATCAAAAATCTTTATTTTTTTATCATTTTTTATAATGAATGCGAACAAATTTTAATTTTTTCCTTTTTCTTTTTTATATATATATATAGAAAAAAAATATTTTTATCAGATAAAAAATGTAAATCATACTTAAATCTTGTAAATGCTTTTTACATTTATTATTAATAAAATATTGAAATAATAATTGAAATGAATAACAAACTTAATGTGTAATTTATAAATATTGAATAATAAAAATTACATATATTAAGCTTTAAGAAATATACTACAGTAATAAAATTATAGAATATTATTGAGAAGTTAATTCTAACGGCTAGAATAAATATAAAAGTTAATATTGATTTATAAATTAATGAAAGTTAATAAACAAAAAAATTATTGAAATTTATTAAATTATAAGTAATTTAAGTGCATTGGATGAAGTGAGATTAAGATGAAATAAGATATCTTCATTGAATTTCCATCTATTTCTGTTTCATTTGGTATAAATTTACATTGTTTAAAATAATCGA